AGTCATTATGGGTCAGGATACAGGGGGGTCCAGGGGAAAAGGACTTGGTAGTGGGGGTCTAATGAGGATGACGAGCTAAACCTGGTATTCTCCAGTCAGCTTTCAGAGGCTGTTCAGGTAAGAGAGGCGGTGGTCATGGGAGACCTAAATTACCTGGACATCTGCTGGGAGGAGCAGACGGCCAAAACAAACCACTCACGTAGATTCTTAAACTGCATGCAGGGCCTCCACCTAACCCCGGAGGTGTCCAGTCCCACTAAGGGTAACACCTTGCCAGACCTGGTCTTAGCAACAGGGGATGATCTCGTGGGGGATTAGCAAGTGCACAGTAGCCTGGGAGATAGTGATCATTATTTGGTCGAATTTACAATCCAACGAAGGGTGGGAAAAATAACTAGCAAGGGTAAAGTGTGAGACTTCAGAAGGGCCAATTTTAGTAAACTTAGAAGACTAGTTAATGAGGTGGCTGAACTCAAGAGCATCGAGCATATGGGGGTCCAGAAGGGTTGGCAGTTTCTCAAGGGAGTGATCCTTGGGGCACAAAAGGAGACTATTCTATTACACTGGAAAGGGGGCAAGGGGACTAAAAAGCCCCCTTGGTTGAACAGGGAACACCAGAAAAGACTGAGGGCAAAGGAAGAGATTTATAGGCGGCAGAAGCAGAGGGCAGCCACCAAGGAGGCATACACCATCCTGGTGCGCTGTTGCAGGGAGCCAGTTAGGCAGACCAAGGCAGGGCTGGAGCATAGGCTGGCTACAACAATCAAGGACAATAAAAAGTCCTTCTACAGATACATAACAAGCAGAAGGAAGGCGCAGAGTAGCATAGGGCCCCTGCAAGACAAATCAGGACAGTTGGCTGCCAACACAGGGAAAAAGACGAAGCTCTTCAATGAGTTCTTCACTTCAGTATTCCTAAGTACTGGTCAGGACAATTCCCCCAATTTGAACATACATAGATGACTGGAAGGCACCAGTCCGCCCATGGTTAGTGCTGACTTGGTTAAGGAGCGCTTGGAGGGGCTGGATGGGTACAAGTCAGCAGGCCCAGATGACCTCCATCCACGGGTGCTGAAGGAATTGGCCAGCGTCATTGCTGAGCCACCGGCATGGCTGTTTGAGCACTCATGGTGCTCCGGCCAGGTCCCTGAGGACTGGAAAAGGGCCAACGTGGTGCCCACTTGTTAAGAAGGGGAGAAGGGCTGAGCCGGGTAACTTTAGGTCAGTCAGTCTTACCTCTATCCCTGGGAAAGTACTAGAAAAAATCATCAAAGAGCGCATTTGTGCAGGCCCAGCAGGGGAAACGATGCTGAAAGGAAACCAGTGCGGGTTCGCCACAGGTAGGTCCTGCCTGACAAACCTTGTAGCCTTTTACGACCAGGTCACACACTGCCTTGACGCAGGAGCTGAGGCAGATGTCATCTACTTGGACTTAAAGAAGGCCTTCGATACTGTTTCGCATCCTATTCTCATAAGAAAACTGACAGGCTGTGGGTGGCAAACTGGCTTAGGGACCGCACCCAGAGAGTGGTGGTGGACGGGTCGTTCTTGGCCTGGAGGGAGGTGGGCAGCGGGGTCCCACGGGGTTCGGTCCTTGGACCGGTGTTATTTAATATCTTCATCAGCGATTTGGACAAGGGCGTGGAGAGCACCCTCTCCAAGTTCGGAGATGACACCAAGTTACGGGGCAAAGTTAACACACTGGAGGGCAGGGAGCAGATTCAGGCCGATCTGGACAGGTTAGATCAATGGGCAGAACGAAACAGGATGCAATTCAACAAAGACAAATGCAAAGTACTCCACCTAGGGAGGAGGAATCCCCAGCACACCTACAGGTTGGGGGATGACCTCCTCAGCAGCTGAGGGGGATCTTGGAGTCACAGTTGACTCTAAGATGAACATGAGCCGACAGTGTAACAAAGCCAATCGCAACTTGTCGAGCATTAGCAGATGCCCGACCAACAGATTGAGGGAGGTGATGCTCCCCCTCTACGCGGCACTAGTCAGGCCACAGTTGGGGTACTGCATCCAGTTCTGGGCACCACACTTCAAGGGGGACGCGGAGAATCTCAAGAGGGTCCGGGGAAGTGCCACTCACATGCTTAGTGGCCTCCGTACAAAACCCTACGAGGGGAGGCTGAGAGATCTGGATCTCTTCCGCCTTCACAAGAGACGTCTGAGGGGAGACCTTGTAGCAGCCTATAAGTTTATCAAGGGAGGACAAGAGAGAGCTGGAGATGCGCTCCTTACCAGGGCACCCCTAAGAATAACTAGGAATAACGGGTACAAACTAGTGGAGAGTAGTTTCATAGTTGATAGCTGATAGGGTCGGAAGGGACCTGAGCAGATCATCAAGTCCGACCCCCTGCCATGGACAGGAAAGAAAGATGGGATTCAAATGACCCTATTTGGCTAGGTGATTATCTAGCCTCCTTTTGAAGACCCCCAGGGTAGGAGTGAGCACCACTTCCCTCGGAAGTTGGTTCCAGGTCCTAGCCGCCCTGACAGTGAAGTAGCGCCTCCTGATGTCTAGTCTGAACCTGCTCTCAGTCAGCTTATGGCCGTTATTCCTCATTACTCCCGGTAGTGCTCGGGGGAACAGGGACTCCCTCATTCCCCACTGGTCCCCCTGGTAAGTTCACGGACAGCCACCAGATCCCCTCTCAGCCTTCTCCTGTGGAGGCTGAACAGGTTCAGGTCCCGTCGCCTCTCCTCGTAGGGCCGGCCCTGCTGCCCCCTGACCTTGCAAGTGACCCTCCTCTGGACCCCCTCGATGCTGTCCACATCCCTCCTGAAGTGCAGCGCCCAGAACTGGACGCAGTACTCCACCTGTGGCCTGACCAGTGCCGTATAGAGGGGGAGGATCACGTCCTTGGACCTGCTCGCGATGCATGACAAGGTACAGTTAGCCTTACTAACCGCATCCCCACATTGGCGGCCCATGTTCATCTCGGAATCAACAATGACTCCAAGATCCTTTTCTGCCTCTGCACTGTCGAGAAGGCAGTTCCCCAGCCTGTAGGTCTGCTGCTCTTTCTTTTACCCTGGGTGCAATACCCTGCACTTGTCAGTATTGAATCCCATCCTAGTCTCATCCACCCACACCTGTAACCTGTCCAGATCTTGTAGCCTGTCCCACCCTTCTAGAGTGCCCGCATCCCCCCACATCTTAGTGTCGTCCGCAAATTTGAACAAGGTGCTTTTCACCCCCTCGTCCAAGTTGCTGATAAAGATGCTGAACAGTGGGGGCCCAAGAACCGAGCCCTGGGATCCCTCCAGGTCAAAAATGACCCATCCACCACCACTCTCTGGGTGCGGCCCTCTAGCCAATTTGTGACCCACCTGACTGTGTAGGCATCAATGCCAGAGTCAGCTAGTTTTTTAATGAGAATGGGGTGAGAGCTAGTGTCAAAGGCCTTCCCAAAGTCCAGAAAGACTACGTGCACCATGACACCTGTGTCCAAGGTTTTTGTGACCTGATCATAAAAGGCAACCGGTAGATTCAGGTTAGACATTAGGAAAAAATTCTTCATAGTAAAGGTGGCCAGAATCTGGAATGGGCTTCCAAGAGAGGTGGTGCTACGACCTAACTTGGAGGTCTTCAAGAGGAGGCTAGATAGGCACCTGACTGGGGTCGCCTGACCTCGGTCCTTTTCCTGCCTGGGGCAAGGGGTTGGACACGATGATCCTTCGGGGTCCCTTCCAACTCTACAATCTATGAATTTACAAACCATCTTCTCTAGCTCTTGAAATTCATTAGTATAAGATTTACAAGTTCTCTCACTTGTCCCTTTATTGGTATGGCTTTCCCCACAAGACAAAAAACAGTTTAAGTTTAACAGATGAGACTTGAGGTTAGGCTACCCAAACTTCAGCACAAGTACAGAAAGAAGCTTCCCTTATAAATCTGTGTGAACAAGCAATATCTAGCATTTACAATAACATGCCATTAAAAATGGTTAAGGAGCATACCAAGATCCAGACACAAAACAGGTCCACCTTGTAGCTACAAGTGGTAAGAGGAAACTGGGCAACAGCAGGTGCTGCAGCACGCTTTCAGTTCCCTGTGGAGCACAAGGACACCAGGGGCATGCACAGTCCCAGAAAAAACAGACAGACACTGGTGGCCACAAGACTGATCAAATACGTGGAGTGCAAGTATACCAGAGGCAAATGTATATATGGACAGGCATTCAGAGAACAAGGAGGATGGGATGACAACAGGTGCAAGCAGCAGTGGCAGAACCTTCTGCCACTATCACCTACCTCCCTTCTACCAAACCCTTTGAGTCTCTCCCATCGCACACTAACTTCTGCTTGGGGACCCCATCAGACCCCAGGGGTCACCTACCTGCTAACTGCCCAGTTCAAAGAATACAAGAATCACGGAGAAATCTAGTACTAACCACTTCGCGGACGATTCTTCCTCAGCCGGTAACAGTCCAGGCAGACTCCAAAACCACATTTGCGACAAACCCAGTGAATATTGAAGAGGGTTGTCTCACATACATCACACATCTCCCTCACACCACGGACTGCTCGCTTCCATGCCACTTTCTCTAAAAAGAGAAGGAGGAAGATTTCAGATTGGGGTTTTGTTGTCTTTTGTGGGAGGTGCAGGGAGGGGGATGGCAGCAGGAGAGGGAGGAAGATGCATAGGGGTCTGAGGATCCCACAAACCCACTGACCTGGCCTCAGCAGCCAGGCTTAGTTCTCTAGTGGGGTGAGATTCCACAACACTTTCATCTCTGTTATTGCCCCAGGAGAGACCAGGTGCAGGAAAGCCAACAAGGAGTGCAGAGTTAACCCTCAGCTGTCACTGACTGGAGGGCCAAGTACACTCCACCACCACTCCAGGTCTCCATTTGCATACCTGGGAGGCAGAAGCTGGAACCTGCTATCCACTGAAACACCAGACTGTTCAGCAGCAGGTGCAGGAGCTTCAATTTGATGCCCTTCCCGAAAGGCAGCAGACCGGAAGTGATTTCCCCACGGAACAGAGGTGTTTCCTGTCTTTACTGTGTATAGATCTGGCAACCCACAGTTCTGTGACATGTTTTCAGAAAAGCCATAGAATTGGCTAATCTAGAGCAGATGTGTGTATACGCACATGGTGCAGCAGATAAGTAGGTGCAGAATGTGTGTACTTGGAACGAGTGTAGTGTGCTTACAGGCACAAAGTCTGGGAGTGTAGTGAATGCTGTCTGAGTCAGAAACAGGATTTATAGAATTACTACATGAAAAGGGTGTGAATTTGGCAAATTGCCAGAGTATGCAAATCTGCACCCATTTAAAAATGCGTGCAAGCCTATAACAGCACAAAGCCCATGACTCAGTAATGGCAGTCAGGAAAACAACTATGTTCCAGTTTCAACACAGGAAAGTGACTGGAATCATTTTACAGCCTAAGTATACAAAAGCTGAAAAACTGCCGACTTGGCAAAACACAACCATCTCTTATCAGTCCTAGAGCAGTAGAGACCATACTGAATTACAAAAACATTTCTGACTAAGTATCCTCTTCAATTATTCTAGAGTTAGAAAGTAGCATTTTTTTTCTAAACCAGAGAAACTGTGAAGCATCTTACCATCTGGATGTTGAAACCTAAAACAGATCTTAATTAGGAGGTCTGCCTTTGCTAGACTTGTAATTATTTGTTTTTGAGGAGCATTTGAAAATGCACAGTGAGCACACCCAGTAGAACTCTTCCCAGAGATATGCACTTTGACAGATAAACACTTGCATACCAGCCCTCTAAAACCAGCATCTTCACTGGGTGTGGCGGACTAACACTCAGCTTTTTCTAGGGCATTTTGGGAGAAGATAACACAAAAGCTGATCTAATTTAATAGGATGGAATTCATGCAGTGAATTCAATGACAGTCCATTAGTTATCAAGACTTCAGGATAAGCATTTCAAGTGGGTAGGGTTTTAGACACCAAAGTAAGGCCTCGTTGCATGCTAAAGCACTTGTCAGTGTTATCAGAAAGTAAGGTTCATTTCCATTTTCTCGGGACCTTCAACCAGTTACTCAAGGAACATAATTTTTTTGTATGTCCTTATTTAAAACATGGAAATAGCAGTTTCAGGCAATTTATCATTAGTTCCCTTTTTAGAAAAAAACTGCTTTTTCCAAGAAGGGAAGCTGGTCCTATAGTCAGATCTGCTACAGAAGGGGACGCACCGCACCCTGTTTTAAAGAAGGAAAGCATAGTCTTTGCAATTAGGAGCTAAACTATTTCTTTAGCTGCACTACACTGAATTTGCATGGTTCTCAGCTAGAGGGGTAAAACCAGCAGCTTACGATGTGGCTCCACCATCATCATCGCCTCCTTCTCAGACATAACAAGCTGGCAGAACTGGTCTCCAACATTGGCCAGGATGTATTTAGAAGTTTCCAGGTCAATGCCCTCTGCCGGGGCGGAAGACGGGATCCACAGGCTCATCGCATCAGGGTCGCTCTGCTGGGGATTTAAGAATCCTTCTACTCGCAGGATACCCTTCCGCGTGAATATCAGTCTGAAACAAAACAGGATGAACTAGATAAGAAGCAGCAAAACAATTGAGAATTTCCCTCTGACACCACCCCCCTCAGAGTGCACCTGGGCAGAGAAGGACAGGCTTTTCTCTATAACTATACAATCCGTGGAGTTAGTACCTGAGCCTAAGAGGACAGGTTGAGGCAATTGAACAGATCCCCAGTTATAGGCACTGGCAATAGGGAGCGGTGAGGCAACTGATTCAGTGTGAGAAACAGGAGGACTCCAAAAATGGCAAGAGGCTAAGCTGATAAAAGTCCATGGGGCTTATTGGTTTGCTATGCAAGAGTATCCAGAGTCCTGCATGTAATTCTCCATGCTGTCTCTTAGTGCAAGTTATTTCCTAGCTTCGGAAGAAGAAACTAGTGTGTGGGAACTGGAAATAGGACCTGGAGCTCTTCACTACTAGCCTGCAAACAGACTGGTGTGTTCATCACTAAATCGCAGCTGACATTTGACAACTGTTTCAGTACCTACTTATTAGAGATGAACCTATCCTGTCTTGTAAATGTTAAAAAACATGTTAGAAAATCCTAGTCTCTCTAGGATTAGTGCCATTAATCTCAGCAGATGGAACTACCTTTAATTCACAGATACGGCCCTGCCAGATCACGATGTGCATGCGCACAGTCCACAACAGGTCAAAAACTTGCACTTCTGCTCCAGTCTGTTTTAAGAAAACTTTGTTCTCCAGCATGTCCAATCTAGCTTCTCATCCCACCTGGCTTCAAACAATGGAGGGAAGAGAAAGACATGCCCTCCAACCCCAACAAGGAATACAGTATAATGTGCAGAGGATTCACTGCTGCTTTATTTCTCTAGAAGCAACTAATCATCTTTCTCCAAACTACACGTCACTAGCTGGGAAGAGACTGATTAAGGAGATCAAGAAACACATACCCCTTGAAGGACCTGTGTACTCCCATGGTGTACTGGGAGAAAGGGGAAAGAAGGGAAACACAAACGGACAGAGCAGGCTACTCCAAGAAATTGCTTCCAAGCCAACTTATCACATTTACACCAATATTAGCTTTGCACCGACAGCTTCTAGCTATTTTTTAGCTAAATTAAATCTTACCTGTCTCAAACTATTGAATAAAAACAGAAATGAGCAGTTATTTCAGTACCCTGCTACCCGGCAGTAACATTTCACTGAAGCAAATTAGGTCTCCTGGGACTTGGGATGGAGTCAGCCAGTCAGCATCACATAGCTGTAGTTTCCAAGTGAGTTGGCAGAAATACAGCTGCAATGACAGCCGCCTTCTTTGCAGAAGAACAGAACTTCAGCCGGGTGACAGGAAACTGGAAATGGTCAAAGCCTTCCCTAAGATTCTCAAGCAAATTAGAAGTGGAAGCCCTAAGAACTGGGGACTTAAATATGCCTGAAGCTCTGCAGCACTAGGTATGAAGCAAGAACAGATTCAGCACCTTCGGAAATGGAAAAAGCGACAGGCCACAGTTGAGTCGTCTTGCTCTTGCTCCTTGAATTTGCGGTACCGCTCCAGACGGCACTCCCGGCACTTGTGCAGATGAGGGGCTACGTTGATGCAAGAGCCGTCCTGGAGGAAGGGTTCTCCCGACTGCTTCAGCTTCCTCACCTTGCTCATGTCTTTCAGCACCGACTGGCCAACTGTGTAGAAGGGGAAACATGAAAATCCATCAAGCTACACCAGCAAACTACACCAGAAGCATCTATCTTCCTCCAGATAATCTCTACCAGTGCATTTCTGCCAAAGAAATTCTCCTAAGGTCTCCCTCCCCAACATGAGCAGGAGCACTTTTGCATATAATCTTCAGTCACGTCACACCATTACAATGATGGCTATTTCAAATAGGAATATTGCAAAACAGATTAAAAATGGTTAATGGGGCTGAACACACAAAATACTGAAGAACAGAAACCAACAGAAATTACAAGCCACAACCCCCTCACAGGAGCATGACAGTCTACCAGAACGTCTAAGACCAACAGCACAGAGTCCAGTCTCTCATCTCAGACCAGTGGCTAGTCAAATGGACCAGGATAATGGTCTTAGCTGTGGAACAAGAACGTGCCCACACGGAAGTGTTAGCAATTGTCATCAGTTCTGAAGCATGCCCATTAATTCTGTGTCCTGACACTTATGTTGGGGTACATCGTTCTTAGAGACTGCACCTGCCAATATTTTTAAGTCCAAAAATATCAAATCCATGAAACTGCAACCTTGGGCCCTTACTAATCTCTTGTGCACATGCTAGTTTACACCAGAGGGCACATCACATGGTTTACCATACAGGAGATGTGCCAGTGCAGAACACAGAATCCCTTCCCTTCATGTTTCCAAGCAGGTGTGCCCTGCCTTGAAGTCTTCACCTTTCAGGGGAGCTGTGCGAGGCCGGCCCTTTGGGGCCTGTTTCCCTTTTCCTTTTCCCAGTAGCAACTCAGCGTTCCGTTCTGCATTGGGGCCCAGCTTCCCAATCAAGTGCTCTGGGATCCCCTTCAGACAAGCCTTGGCCTGCAGCTGCTCCTCAGAGTCACTCAAATCTGACAGGTCACTATTGGTACTAGAATCTGAGTCTTGTTTGGATGTCATGCTCCGCTCATCTAACGAGAACCTTTTCACAGCTTCAAAAGGGGCTCTGTTCTCCTGTGCAAACTCTGCCTGTGAAGAGAAAAAGCAAGGCGGGTGCCTGCCAAACACGTTAGAAAAAGTTTTCAGAAGAGGGTTGTCCTGCTGCCCAGGCCCAACAGATGGTTTCTGTTCCTTTATTCCCCACCGTAGCAGGGCTCTGTACACCAGCCAGGGCAGCCAGACCGGTCACACCAGAAACCAGCTTGGAGGAATCAGTTGTTATAAACAAGGTTTTCTTCTTAGCAAAAGAAGAGTCTGCTGAGGTGAGTGATTCTGGCCAGCTAGAAGCAGCCTTGGGAGCCACAGTTGAAGGGGGTGTAGAAACTCCTGTCTGAGATGAAGATGCAAAGCTACTGAAAGGACCAAGTTCTGCTTTCTCAGCAAATGCCAGGAAAGGGTTTGCAGGCTCCTCCCGGGACAGTTTTGGGGGCTGTAAAAATAAATTTTCATGATTATCTGGGGGTCGAGGATTCAACAGGCTTCTTGAAAAAGCTGGAGTGAGGGTGGGCATTGACTCCATTGGCAGCTTCCGGTCCACAGAACTGCCAGACTGGGCTGCAGGCTTATTGTCTGCTGCAAGAAGACTTTTACCTTTACCAATCCCAGAGCCCAGGCTTTCTGAACACTGCTTGAATGAGTCCCGACTAGAGGGCTCGTCAGCCAAACTCTCAGAGATGACTGTGAAGTAGTTACTGGAGGGCAAATTCTGCGACATACATTGGAAAAACAAGTTCTTTGACAGATCAGAATCTTTTGGAGACTCTTGCCCAGTGCTGCTGCCAAATGGAAATCCAACAGGTTTGCTTTCTGCGGTCAATACTCCATTTGATTGGCCTCTTCCACCCCCGAATGCCAAAGGTTGGGGAGCACTTGGAAGAGATGCTCCAAAACCAGAAGTCAAAAGCGAGTTTCGGGAATTCTGCAACAAAATTGGAGAGAGTTAGCTCATGAGACAAATTCCTCAAAAAAAAAAAAAAAAAAAAAAGTGCTTGGTATCTACTTCAGCAGTACTTTGTCTATCTTGCTTCACAATGTCTTCACATGCCCCTTACTACTGTAGGAAGTCAGACCAGAAATCATTACATAAACAGTACCCGCTAAACTAACGTTTAGATAACGCATGACCTCCCTTCACCTATCAACCGACATACCTAGCTGGTTCACATCAGTTACAAAATAAGAGCGCGCAGAGAAACGGAGTTTTATTAACACGTGGGAATGGAACTAACAGATCAAGTTGGGCCGACTCGCATATGAAAGTGATTTACATCAGCTAGCATGAAACTTCCATTTAAATAATTACTTTTTATCTTGTTTTGTATTTGTACAGAACAGCGATTTTCCTAAATGAGGATTTGAGTCCTTCTCTCAGACTGGCGGCCAGTCAAACATATGTACCGGCAGCTAAGTCATTCAGCCTTTATGCTTAACGTGGCGGGGATTTTTTCTTTAAAGGGAAGAGGAACAGTGCATGCAACTACATGTAAACCACTGCTCAGCAGGCATTTATCCAGTTTCTTATTTCTTACACCTTCCTCACGGAGAAAAATGCATTTCTTATTTGCTAGATCAGGGGTTGGCAACCCCCGGCACGCGTGCCAAGCACGGCATGCGAGGCCGTTTTGCTCAGCACGCCACAGCCAGCCCCAGCTCTGGGTAGCTGCTGGAGCCTGGACTGCTCCCAGCAGGGCTTGCAGCGTCTCAGCTGCCTGCTGGGAGCAGCCCGGGCGCTGGGGCTGCGAAGCCG